TGACCACGTCAGTCAGACTTCGTAACACCCCAGTATTTAGTTATCAGTTATTTCAGTTTTGAATATTGTCCATAGATAAATATTCAATAATAGTAAAGTTTGTAATGTCAGTTACTGATGTTTGAATCCATTGCGTAGTGTTAAATGTTCACACACAGTACTGTTTTGTCCTTTTTGCGTGTTCACTTTATCTGTGACTCGAGCAGTGTTCAGTTTTGCTTAGGTCATCATGTTATTTGAAGTGATACACGACAGTGGAACCCTTACAGTGGAAGAATGGGACATTTTACAAGCAGTGAAAAGAATGCACAAGTATTTCTTTAGTACCCTGTAGACTGGAGCGTATGCTTCCAATATGCTTGCACTGCTGAGCCTTTTTACAGATGTGTCTCACATCTGAACAAATGTAATATTCTCCACCTCAGCTGTGTGTGACATTGGCTCGGCTTCCTTCAAGTACGACATGAGACGACTGAGTGAGATCCTGGCCTTCCCGAGAGCCTGGTACCGTCGAAGTATCGCCAGGCGCCTCTTCCTGGGAGACCAGACAATCAACCTGCCAGGTGACTTGTTGCCCGCTCAGTGTCTTTGGTTTTTGTTAGGGTGGGTTTGTTGAGTGGTGTCAGCTTTTATCTGGCATCTCACACAATGAACAGAGGTTTACTAAGCTTCTGACAGTGTTTCTCTTAAGATTGCTTTTTGTACTTTATGTTTGATTTCCAGTCTGACAACAATTGCTTACGTTCAACATGGCCTTCAAGTAAAATGAGTAATATAGACAAAAGTATAAAATAAAAAGTTTTTACTGTATGCAGAAATATGCAAGGAAATTCATGATTTTTCGTCTATCTACTCGTCTCAGTGGGTTTAGCTTGTGTTCATTTTTAATATCCCATCTCACTGACCTTCCTTCAGCCAACATTTCCCTGCCACTGCTCCATGTTGACATTTGAAAGGCTGTTCTTTACTTACATCTCTCAACCTTTACCTTCCATCAGCCTCTGGCCCCGCCACCCCCGACTCAGCTGAAAACGTCACCCAACATCTGTCCCCCGAGTCCAGTCGGAAAGCCTACTGGAGAACCTGGGACGGCAGCACTGGGACGCAGCACATGCCCCAGTCCCCCAACGTCTTTTCAGAGCACTCCGCTGGAAGCAACATGTCCCCGGGTGGCCTGGGCCACCTCAAATCCCCCGCACCCGGACGCACCAGGAGCGTGTCTGATTCCTCTGCTCCGAGAAGAGGTAATTACAAACCATTTACAGATGGGTCTCAAACTAAAATATTCTTCCTTGTTACCAAAACACAGACTGATGTAGAAAGTCCTTGTGCTGTAGATTAAATAATATTTGATAAATAATATCTACAATAAATGCAATTGGAAAATTAGTAAATGCAATGAGGATGTATACAAGATGCTCATAATTTGTCTGTGTTTGTTTGACTGCCTTCTACCTAACGTTTGTTCATTCTCGTCCAGATTCGGTGACAAAAACATCCACTCCTTCCTTCACTAAGAATGGTAAGGCAGCAGGTCAGCAGGGGGCGCCATGGGAGACGCTGGTGGTGTTCGCAATCAACTTGAAACAGCTCACCGTCCAGATGAACATGAGCAATGTCATGGGAAACAATACGTGAGTGGTTGTAGATTGCACATCTGCATGTTTAAATGTTGATACTTTAATACCCAACACATCAGAAATGTAACGGATTCATTTTAAACAAACGCTTATTGGCTTTCCTGCTGAGAAGTAGATGAGAAGAGCGATACCACTCTCATGTCTGTACATTAAATATGAAGCTACAGCCAGAAACCTCTTAGCTTAGCTTAGCATGAAGACTGGAAACAGGGAAACCGTTAGCCTTCCTCTGTCCAAAGGAAACAAATTCACATCCCAGCAGGTTTGTGCACGGATGAGACAAGAGATGTAGCGTGTTAATTAGTGAGCTTAACAGGAGCAGGTAGTCGCTAAGCTAAAGGCCTGCTGGCTGTAACTTCATATTTGCTGTACAGATAACAGAATGATATTGATCTTCTCATCTAACTCTCTACAAGAAAGAAAATGAGCTAACGTTGGTAAATTATTCATAATTTTTTTCAGAGGTATTGTCATTATTTTAATGTAAATATATTGTATTTGAATATGTTACATACCATTTTAATGTGAAATAAGCTAGCATTTTAAGATAATAAATATCCTTACATTATTAAGTTTATTCCAAATGTTTGAAAACAGACATTCAGTACCCTCTGAGCAAAAAATCTAACAACTGATGCAACAGTTAATAAATATTTTTATATAAACATTCATTAGTAAAATTTCCCCCCTCTGGTCTTGTATTGATAAATCCTCTGAGTGTTGCTTAAAATGAAATGTGGAAGTTTTAGTGAATTGACTCCTGCTGTTGAAGTCATGCTGGACAAAGACGACCCAGTCCCATTTTATAAAACCCACTTTGGAAAACGCCGTTTTAGTGTGAAAGAATCTATGTAGCAAGTAAAGATGAAGATACGCACTGAAGCTAAGAATCTTATTGACTAAGCTGGACATTGTACTTGCACTTTCATCTCTAGTTATACATCCTACTCTACAGTTCAGACAGAATTGCAGAAAGTCCTGCTGAATCAGTGACAAAACATAACACCCACGTAACTAAGGCGGTACTATTTTATGAGCTCTGCGTCATCATAAAGTAAAAAACATCTTCTACTCTGGCAATGTTTGGGCTCTGTGAGCAACACATGCATCTTCTGTCTCTTCCTTACCAAGTCAGGACGCCTCTCTAGCTGGTGATTAAATTATTTAGGACTTTGAAATATTATTCCCTCATAAAAGCATTTATGCGTAGGTGTGGTCTTTGTTGAAAGAAAGAATTGTATCAACAAAAAAAGCTTAACCACACGGCTGTACTTAGATATAAGCAAATGGCTTAAATAATTAATTGTTAAATTGGCATGTTGAGATAATAACAACTAGCTAAGTTACATAATGACCACGTCAGTCAGACTTCGTATAACCACCCCAGGGTTATTTAGTTATTCAGGTTATTTCAGTTTTGAATATGTACCATAGATAAATATTTCAATAATAGTAAAAGTTGGTAAATTGTTCAGTTCTGATGTTTTGAAATCCCATTTTGCTAATAAGATATGTAATTAAAATGGCCCCCAAGATCGTCCACACGCAGATTGTACACGGATGATTACGAATCTCTTTTTGCGTTCCACTTTTATTCTTGTTGGTGTGGAAGCATGTGTCTCCTCCCAGATTGTGTGCTCTATGCGTTTTAGCTGTGAAGGGTCCAATCATGTTACTTTTGAAAGTTGATACAACGACCAGTGAACCCTTTACCAGTTGGAGGAAGAATGGGAATACTTGTGAAAGCACAAAACCATCTCTGTCTGTGCTCGGAAATTGACAGTTGGTGATATGCATGGTAACTGAGATAATGATGGCCTTTTGAGCTCAGAACTGAATAATGGAAAATGAAGGAATGGCCAGCGTAATTTTCTCGGTGGTCTGATACCAACTAGTAATTATATTTTGCTTCACGCTGACTGGGGTCTTTTGAACTACGCATACTCATTATGTGGGTTCATGCACCTGATACTGAAGCACACATAAAATACCTAGTTTCAATATTACTCTCACCTCTAGCAGCCCTTGTGTGTGACATTGGCCTTCGGCTTTTCCATTCCATAACCGTACTCCACTGAAGGACGTATACACTGGCGAGAGAAAAAGGTTGGGAGTAATCCACTTGGCTGAAACCAGGGTGCATGTCCGTGATCCTCCTTATTGCAGTGACACGGCTACTGGTTTCTTGGTCCCTGTTATCGATATTCTTGGGACCGATTGTGACCCTATTAAGGCATTACATTCAAAACGACGTGAGGTCAGCCTCTATTAATGAAATGCGGGTAGCTGACTTACTCTATGATTAAAGAGTTCCATTCCGCGTCAAGACGGTTCCTCATCACCTCGCGAGTTTCGCTCGAAGACGCAATTTCCTTACATTCAAGCTCTTTCGCAATACCTGTCCACAGCATATACAAAGTGGTTGAACCTTATTTCTTGGAAGTTGCCGCGACCGTTCCGCGATGTCTTTGTCTATCAGGCAGTGATGTATTTTTTGTAGTAGTGTGTTTCAAGGGAAAAGACCTGGTACAGAGATAAGAGGTGTGTTGCATTTCCGCCGCCGAAAGAAAGAGACAAGCCATTACTTCTTTGAAGTCCATAGTCCCAATTAATAATAATGTCTCAAAGACGATGATCAGACAGCATATATTTACCAGGGAACCAAGAAGGGGTAATAAAAATTAAATTTGAACCTCCAAAGCTCCATGAGGCTCCCGAACCTGTTGCTGGTGTTCTCTTCTCATTCAAAAGATCTAGGCATATGTTTATTTGGTACCTATTGTATAATCTCGCAAATTTGACAGGTCTAGGTACCAGAAATGTCCTCGAAAGGTTATGTTTAATTACATGTTAGCAAGCTTAATCCGGACCTTGGGGGTCATAGTGCCAAGTGGGAATAATGCGTCACAATCGAGTTTCGTACTACATGATCTAACAAATTGACGAAGAAGAACACAGATAATAGTCCAAAATATCACACAAGACTAGTCTGGAATGGAGTGGAAGAATAATAAACTAAGTGAATACAATATTGTTCAAGGAGTATGGTGAGATTCTTACATCTGCTTGTAATAATCAACAGTGGTCTCCTGTCGAGCAGTGCAAGCATATATTTGGAAGCATTACGCTGTGTCTCATGTCTTTTAACAGGGTACTAACACGAAAATTCTACTAGTGCAACACTTTCCTCTCGCCATTCAAACAATCTTGTCTCCTTGTTCACAAAATCGTCCCTCCAAATTGCTTTGAACTCAAACTTTAAGTTACCAACTGGGCTGTTATCATCTCTCATTTAATTAAAACATTCTCTTCCGAACCTTGATCCTAACCTATATCCACAACATCAACCGACCTCGCTCCACCACACCCATGTCCACACCACCCCCGGACCTTCCGCAAGACTCAGCGCAAAAAAAGCGACATCCACCAAACCAAGTACCGAACTTGTTCCACCACCCACTCCTTCACCACCAGCATACCAAATGATCGTCAACCCAAGTCCACATCAGTAAAGCTGGATACTAGTAGACAAAGATCCTGGGAGCATATTATCTTGGACACCCAAGCACCTAGGGTGAACGCTATCTTAAGCTAACATGCGAGCACCTACCCTCGAATACCCTGACAACAGTCATTTTTATTACCAGAAGCTTCCGTACCGTGTGAACTTTAAGCCAATAACTCCGGTGTTACGAAGTCCCGCGGGTACTGGACCTGTGGTGAGTCCTCAATTAAGGTCTGATAACCGCTAAAGAAGGTGCGAGGAGTCTAGGAAGCGCGGATTGATCTATATTCTCTGCTCGAGGAGATATTATCTCAACATGCCCAATGTATTATACACAATTAATCCATTATTTTATAGAGCCAACAGTGTCTCTTAAATATCTTCCATAAGTACAAAACTAATGCGTGGTCGCGTCTAATTGACTTCTCCTTATGTGAATCAACCAGCAACTCACGCGCCGCGCTAACTGATCCAACAAGAATCCACACCTACGCATAAAGCGCTATGACATATAATATTTCAAAGTCCTCAAATGTCCTCTCTCTCTCAATATAAATTATCACCAAGCTAGTAAGAGGTCTTGGTACCTGATCATTTTTAAGGATAAGGAATGAGACTACACCAGAAAAGCATTGCAATATGTTTCGCTTTCGACAGAACGCAACACAAAAAACATTGTCCAGAGTAAATAAAGAATGCATGTTTTACATGAAGGCTAATCAATTAATATCAAAAACGAGGAAGCTCATGTTACATAAAAATTACTGCTCCGCCTGTGTCTAGTGTATTTGACCTGCCTTCTTACCAAACGTTTGTTCAATTTCTCGTCCAGCATTCGGTTTGACAATACACTTCCTGTTTTCATACTTACTTGCTAATAGGATCTTTCAAACACTAAAACGGCGTTTTCCAAAGTGCGGGGTTACAATAACAATGGGACCATGGGTCACCTTTGCTCCAGCATGACTTCACAGCAGCGAGCTCAACTTCACAAAAAAACTCC